AATACCACAGTACCTTGTTTTTAACGAAAAATGTTTTACAAAATATGATGCTTCTAAAATTATTCCTTCACACTAATATATATAATTTTTTAAAATCCCTGTACAGGAAATTAAAAAGTAATGTATTTTGATATTTTAAAGTTAATTTTAATAATTTTATAAAAATAATCATTTATTTTAAATAAAATGTAAGAAAAAAGACTGAAGATATAGCCAAATATGTTTTTAAATAACGTGTGTATCTATCTCGAGTGTGTGTTTGTATATATGTTCATGCATTAGTGTATTTATGTATCTCTCTGAATTTTAGTCTCAATTTATGGTACAAGATTATGAAGAGTACTGTGATTGCTATCATATTTCCTCAACACTATCCCAGTCACACTCCTCACCACAACATTCCAGCCCACGAGTTAAAACTGCATATGTCATTTGATATTCGCCAAATTTAAGGACTAAATTTCTCAAAAGATACATTCCCCTAAAATAACTGAAACTGTACGGAATAAATTGTTTAAAATGGACATTTGGAAACTATAATTTGAAATAAAAATGTGTTCCTTGAAAAACCGGGCATGCAAAACATTAGGAATTTTTAAAAGATTTTTTATTTATTTTTAAATTTAAAGAAATAAATATATTGCCTATTAAGGCACAGACCTAGTCAGCCCGACTTGCCAAGTTAATGTTATTTCATTCGTTTCCTTTTTCTTATTTTTTCTTTGTTTTGTTTTTTCTTCTTCTTTAATTCTCTCTTCTTGTTCCATTATCAAAGAAATGTATTTCGGTCAATATTTTGAGTCAATGAGTTAAAGCAGTTAATTTTGGAATCAGCTGAAGTCAAGAATAAAAACGACGCTCTAGAAAAAATTTTTTGTTCTGAAAATAGACTTACTTGGATGTTGACTTACTCGGGCTAAGCCCGTCAAGCCATACCGACATTGAAAGATATATATATATATATATATATATATATATATTGAAAATACAAAAGATGTCATATATTTATATGCAAGATTTATGCTGCATGTGGGCTTTAAGAAGAAAATATTGTAGTTGCATTTATTTTCAAGTTTCGCTGTTACATTTCAAAAGCTTTTAAAAGTAGTTTTTAAATATTTATCGAATTAACTACTGTTATATATATATATATATATATATATATATATATATATATATATATATACATATATAGACCCTTGGGAAAGGTATGGATGCTGATCTTCTCCGTCATCTATGTTTAAATAGCAGGACAAACTTGAACCTATAGCCTTGGGTAGAAAGCAGTATAGGAGAAAAAAAAATAAATTCATTTTTTCATAAACACGACAGTGACCTAGAGAACTCAATCGGTTTGGAGAGTCTTGCATTATTAGCAGTCATAGTCACTGTTTACAAATTTGCGCTTTCTCCCCACGGTATTCGATCGAGTTTATTTGTTTTCGGGAGCTAATAACTTCATCAGCAGACAGACTGTTTCGCTATATCAGTTCCCGCAAACGAATCTTTCGTCGCCGCCCGCTACTTTACTGCTATTTTTTTTATGGCAGATGGTCGTGTGGACTCCAGTTCATTCTTTTACAGGTAAGACCAACCAAGACATGTCCCATTCGGAATTCCAAATTGAAAAATACTTCAGACACTACACATTCGTGGAAACGATTTTCATCTCTCTCAAGCCTGGTATGCGATGATTCGCCAACTTCAGTTGAAATATGCAAGCATAACTTCTAGAATACAAAGACATGCAATATTTGACTGAATGATCATCAACGCTTTTTTTGGATATGTTTCAACCGAGACATATGCCAAATTTTACAAGGTATCCCACAGTAAGCGGTGTTCGCCAGCAGTCCCGCAGTGAAGTAATGACAGGACTCCACACAAGCACGGCTAAAATTATTTGGTACAACATACGAGCAGTACAACGATTAGACCACATTTCCAATTTCTTTAGTAATGTTGTGATAGATAAATTGTCGTATAAATTGCACAAAAATGAAAATTATATTGACATCTCATTTTAACAGATATATTTAACAGAATTACATAAACATATTAAAATGCGAAAATGTAAATTTATTCAATAAAATCGCCACAGGCTTCAATTAAGTCTTCCGGACGACTTCAGAAACTCCTGCATCTCTTATGGACGGTGTCCTTGTTTATGTTGTTGAATGTTGCCATAATCCTTGCCTTCAGTTCCTCTTTGGTGTTACATGGATTCTTTCTGTTCTCTTGTCCAGCTGCGCCCCACACATAAGAATCAAGAGGGTTAGGTAAGGGGTGATGTGGTCGCAGAATTGACTGGGTTCACCTGCTTGGGTGTCATGGTGCAGGGTCCTGTTACCAAACATAGGGTCTTCCAGCAGAGACCCTCTTGACTCAGTGTAATACAACCTCCTCCAGGCACTTACTGTGGACCTCCGTGGAATTCTTTTCTTATGAAGATGATCAGAGATTTTCGAGCTGCCGTACCTTCGTAATCACCAACAGACTCATCCAACTCTTTCCGAATAATCTGCACTGTACAGAGATTGACGCCCAAACACTCTGAAAATGTTCGTATTGGAGCTTCCGGTGCCAATGCTAAGACGTACAGCATGCCGTTTACAAATTTTTCGCGGAGGTATTGCGTCATGGTGGACATTTTCACAGAAGGTGCCCAACTGACCCTACTACATGTGTAGTGGACAAAATCAAAAACAAACAAGGAGCAAGCGCGAAATTAAACATATAAAATGTCGACAATTTACCCATCGTACACTCTAATGTAGGACAACAGATGGCTATATAATTTTTTTCTGAAAATTCAAAATAATGCTGAAATTTCCACAAGGCATAACTTTTCTTAATCTTAATTTATTTTATGCTCTTTCGGGTGCTTCTTCTATAAATGTATATACGTCTATTCGGCATGTATTTCTTTTATTTAAACAAAGTTTGGCATGCGCATGAAATGTTATAAGATTCACTGTAAAGTCTTGTTTCATGTTTTATAAACATTATGATCTGATCTGATTTATAAACATTATCATCTTGTTTGAAGTAATATTGTTACAACAGATCTTAAAAATGGAGATAAGCAATAACAGAAAATGCATCATATTTTTTTTTTATTCGTGATGCAACAAAATTAAGAAGATAATCCAATATATTGTCTGGCTTTTATTCCACCGGGTTTGTTTATAACTAAATATATATATATATATATATATATATATATATATATATATATATATATATATATATATTAGATTTATTTACGACAAAAAATACTTAAATTGTCATATTAAAAAAATGCTCTCACTTAAATTTTGAAGAATTCAACCTTCGCGTTGATACTGCACACTCCACAAGTTTGTATACGTTATCAATAACAGACTTCAAAAAAACATATTTCGATTTGCATTATACATTTTCGTCGCGGATTCTACCTGAATTTTACCAAAAAGAAAATAGTTTTCATGCCAGATGATGACCGGACAACCTGTCGAAAGTACTTGCATATTTAAGGAAGACCTAATACAGTTTTATGATTTTAAAAAACAAGGATGATAACATTCAGCGAATGATTCAATGTAATATATATATATATATATATATATATATATATATATATATATAGTGTAACCCGGATATAAGAGACCCGGATATAAGAGAAACCCGGTTATAAGAGAGATTTTCTCTGGTCCCAAATTAGAGCCTGTTACTTACCTAAACAAAATAGACCAAACCCGGATATAAGAGAAACCCGGATAT